GCAATATAAAGATATTAACAAAGATAAATATAAGATGGCTAAGTCCTGAGTAGGTGTGTGGGTGAGGAGGGGGAGAGAAGGGGGAATGGTTATGCAGTCTTATTCTCGTAATATTATGACTTTATTCTCGTAATTTCCCCCAAAAAATAAAAAATACTCCGTCGTTTTCAAGCAAGGTAAACATTTCCATTTAAAAATTCTCCCGTATAGCTGCAGAGTTTGGTTTCCAGAAATACGATCAGAGTGGGTCCTCTTTCATTTTCCTGCTCTCTGACTCCGAGCTGTCAGTCAGCTGACTGAACGCGTCAGACTTAAGCTAATTATCGTTTATTTCTGTGCTGTGGCAAAAAGATTTTAGTCACTCGACACCATTTCTACAAATATAAAATACACTGAGTGGTATGTTTACTGTTTACAGTTTTATAATTAATGTTTACGGGGCTTTGTTTGCATCAGTCTTCCTGCTGGCATAATATACATACTGTCAATGACATTACTGCAAACTTTACTCATAATCCTTCCTCACTTTGACCAGTGGATGGCGCCAATATATCGTTCAACAGAGTCTGCGCAATCGACCCACGTGTGGACATTTCCTGTAAAGGGGGTGTCCCGATCCACACACTGAAAGATCTGCTCTGAAGGGGTTTTAAAGCTATGGACGAACTACCAGCGGACCTCGGAGCCTTTCTTCTTAACCACCCCTTTCTCCAGCTTACAGATGACAAAAAGGTTAGCGAGTAAAACACGTCACATTACACGAAACCCGCTGTCCGTACAATGTGACGCTAGCCGCATTGCTAACGTACCTCATGAGCCATGCACTGTGGCGGGGGTGTTGTGATGGCTACGTGTGTTAACCGAGAGTGGGTAACCTGTCAATGATTACCAGGTTTATTTGCAGCGCCAAGCTAAACGGCACTAAATGAACCGCATGTCTGTCCTGATTTGTTGTTTTCAGATCAGATGCACTCTGAATGGCCATGAGTTTCCATGCAACCTGGCGGAGCTGCAGAAGTTCACTCAGGGGAAGAAATATGAGAAACTGAGTGCAGCTGCAGAGTTCAACTACAGACAGTACGAGCCACACATTGTGCCAAGCACGAAACAACCGTAAGGAGACTCTCTGCCTGCAGCACCAGCACCCTCCTCATCTTACATGCTGTTAAAAATGACAGGAGAAATATACTGAACTGAAGCTAGCCTGCATTTTGTGATGTGTGTTTTCTGATGCACCCTGTCTGTTCTGATTTCCAGCAATCAGCTTTTCTGTAAGCTGACCCTCAGACACCTGAACCGGCAGCCGCATCACGTCCTAAGACATGTTAATGGGAAACGCTTCAAGAAAGCCCTTTCAAAATGTCAGTGCATTACTATCTATCTCCATGCATGGCACTTTTTTAAAGTCTTTTTAACTATTATAGGTCATTAAGTAGTGGGTATAGTATGTCTTCTGCACAGCGGGGATGTTATACAACCTAATTCATGTAGACTTGGTGTTATACTCGCTATTCAGGAAGGAAACCAGAGTTATCTGGTGCATCTGTTAATAAAAATGTATTTCTGTGGTATCACTTTTAAACACATTTTAATGTGTGTTTGTGGTGGGGTCACACGTGCAGAATGCAGTTAATTAGAAAAAACAGAATGGTGTTCAATTTTAATTTTATCCCCACCATCGTTCACAATATTCACATAAAGTCTGATTTCATACGGATGGAGCAACTATTTCATATTTGCAGTGTAGTATTGCTTCAGTTCTTATCGGTGTTGCTATTGTACCTTGATCTTTTTAGAACTGCTTGATATTATTACTAACTTTGCTCAGCGGTAACACATTAATCTGAATAATAAGACATGTCTCGATCCTGCTCTAGATGAAGAGTGTGTGCAGCAAGGGATTGAATTCACTCCGGCCAGACTCAAACAGAAAAGGCCCAGAGACACCGGAGAGGAGGTCAAACGGGGGAGGTCCACAAAACATGGCAACAGCTCATGGGAACCCTCATCCAGTGACGAGGATCACAGTGACTCAGAAGACAGCATGAGTGACCTCTACCCTCGTCAGTACACACTGTAGACATTATTGTCAGCTTTTATTGTGGTTTTTATGTCCAACAGTGTGTCAGTGAGGTCCAATAGTTTGCAGGATTTCATTCGAAGCAAAAAAACTAGTGAATTTACTGTTTAACAAACCAACAGTTTATCAGAAGAGTGGCATTTTTTCCTTTGCTCTAACACTGTGTCGTATGTTCCCACAGCCACTGTATTCACTTTAAAAACCCCGGCAGAAGAAAGTATGGAGGGTGAGAAGAAGAAGGAGGAGGATGATGACTTCCAAACAGATGAAGAGGAGGAAATGGAGGTGGATAAGCAGGTGCTGCAGAAACGCAAGAAGGTCTGTCAATATCTGAAGTAACATGTTTTTCTGGGTGTGTTTGTAATCCAGTGTATCAATGGGATTAGCTGGCACTGTAATGACATTTTGCTGTGTAGGAGTTTTTCCCTGACAGACATTAATGTTGTCGTAATTATGTCTTTCAGGTCCAGGGCGGGTCTGGTTTTCAGAAGAAAATCCGAAATAACCACTGGAAATCAGGACGTAAGAAACGTGGAAAAGTGCCAAGTGAAAAATAATAAAAAACAATATATGTAGTATTTTTATACCTGCTAATTTGTCAAGGCTCAACACTGCACTCCCAGTTTGGAGTAGTACTGCTGTGTCTGAACCAGCCTTTGTATGAGTGAACATCCATTAGACTTTTCATATTTTCTGCATATGAAATATTGTCTGATTTCCGAGGTGTGATGTTCCAACATGACAGAGAAGATGTGTTAGTGGCAGTAAACACATCATGTTGACTGGATAAGTTGTATTTTTCTGGTTTGCAACCAAGTGTGCGAGTATAAAATACAACAAAATCTTGGATTTACAAACATTGTCTAAGTGTTTTTGTTCTTCCTATCATAGCCTAATTGAAATTGAAATGAATTAAAAGAAGGTATGGTAAGGTATCATCATCATCATCTATTTCCTCTTCTCTTTCCCTTTGAAAGCTATTTTTTAGCTTTGAAAGCTAGGTCATAGTTATTGCTGTGCGTTTAAATAACATCAGCTGGTATGGCGTGCACTAGGTCACTGCATGTGAAAACAAAGAATGTAAAGATTTTCCCCCACAGAGTCTTTCAGTTAACAAGCCATGTGTGAGCTCGGGCCTCTTTTACACCTCCATCCCATTTCCCTTCACATAGCTCTGCCCTCTCATGGCAGTTATCTTCATCATCTGAGCAGGCTGTTCTCCTGCAAATACCAACTATGAGCCACAGCCACATGAATTGACAACCGGCTCCCACAAACATCATTGTATTACATGGTGTCCCTTCAGGTTGCATATGCAGCAGACTTCAGGAATCTTGACGAGGGGCCCAGGGAGTGAGGGGACTTGGAGATGGTGGGGAGAGCTGACAGAAGGGGTTCTTGGTCTTGGTCTCTAGTGTCTTTTTAGTTGAAGCAGTAGTACTCCAGAAAACCTGATATTAATGGTTACAAGAGACATTAATCCTGAAATTAATGAAGTTATCTGACCGATGTAGACACGTGGGTGACAAATGAAGTAGATAGTGGGTCACTGAATGGTTTGACGAGGCATAAAAATGATATTAATCATGCGCTGTGAAAGATGTTAGTACCAAGTGTTAGGTTGCCCAACAAAACAGTAAAATTGTGAACTCCTGTTTGTCCAACCGTGATCTGTTTGAGTCGTACAGCCCCAGCTTGTGTGAACAAGAAAGCAAATTATTTTTTTAATTCATTCATTAATGCATGCATTTATTTAATTTCTAACTCAATCAAGTGCGTGCAAATTATAATGATCAAAATCATAATTTGAATACACTTTTAGCAGATTATAGTAATTAACCGTAATTTTAATTAAATAAAGGATTAATAGACCAAATAAAACTTTTTTTAAAGCACAAAGCACATCTGGCACAACCACATTTAAAAGACCATGGGTTACACTGGAGTGTGCAGAGCTTAGAGGGTTAAACAAGAACATGCCTTATGCACACACATTTCAGGTGGAGTTGAAGCTATAAACCTGTGCTTGTTTACACGTGAAAAAAACCGTAAACAACGCAGGAGAAGCCGAGTCAAGCCCCTGCACGGATCAGTATACGTGGCATACAGCGGTTGCAGTACCATGTAGGGGGGCTCTGTCTCTGCTCGTCAAATCGCGGGGCATTGTGGGGCGGAGGCGGCCTTTCTCAGCGTCCAGGCGATCGGGAAATCTTCAAGTAAATAACGTGAACAGGGGGAGGAACAGTACGAGAGCAGCCTGCGAACGAAAACTACAGCACCTACTGAAAAAAAAAAAAACTGTGCTGCGCTTAGCCTTAATTATATTTAAAAAAAAGAATCGTAATATTCCGTCAATATGGGGCAGGAGGATCTGATGAACACAGCCGAAGACGTGGCGGACCAGGTAACTTCAATGTGGAGCTCGGTTGATAACGTTAGCCGCTGTTAGCATGGTAGCCGCCGAATTGTTAAGTCTGAGATTGGAAGTAACGCTAACGTTTAGGCTCCTGAGGGTTTCCTCCATTATTCAGACAGCTTTTTTTTTTAAAATGGTTTAGTCCACGGTCGATGGCAGACTTCATTATCTTGACTTTAAATCAATACGGCGGCTCGTTTGCTCGTGTTTTTGATTCGCACCACACACTGTTGAGGTTGTCTGGTCCTGTCATGTGTCTCCAGATGGATTAGCTCTTATTAATTCTTACTGACATCTGTTTAGCGACGACCCCACCTCACCTAGCTCACGTTAACAGGTAAATGTGACACATTTGGACGGCTACCTTCTTATCCCAGCTAAGTTCGTTAGCTTGTCGTGTGTAG